TAATATTCTTAGTGATCATCATGGATACATCAGAATTTATTTAACCAGGCCCTTAATGTTGCATTCTTAGGTTATTTCTAGTTTTCATTCTGCCTATGTACATTGGGCACTCATCCTACTTTCTTCATAAGACATTATCATAGCACTGGAATTTCTGAATAAAAGGATGTATTTCTCCCCCGGTACTGGAGATCAAATTCAGGACCTTGAGCTTGCCAGGCAGCCTTGGTATTACTGAGCTACATCCTCAGGCCTAAAAGGTTGTATTTAAAGATACTGTCCAATTGATTCTCAAAGTGTTCTGACAGTTTGTATTCCCACTAATTTATGATATTTGTTGCCTATGCCTCTCATAAACACTTGAATTCTTGCCCATTTGAGAACCAAAAATATTCAGTATCTCTCTTTCTTTTTTGTTCTTGTTTTTTGAGAACGAGTCTCACTATGTAGCCCTGGCTGACCTCAAACTCCTGGCATTCCTCCTGCCTCAGGCTCCCACGCGCTGGGATAACAGGAGTACACTACCACGCCCACTTAAAACCCTGTTTTAAAAATAAAGAAAAGAAAAAGGACTTGGGGATGTAACTTAGTGAACAGATTGCACGGCATGGTGGTGCACATCTGTAACTCCAGCACTCAGGAGACTGAGGCAGGAGGATCACTTCAAGTTTGAGGCCTGGCTGGGTTATACAATGAATTCAAGGCCAGTCTAGATATACAGCAAGACCCTGCCTCGAAAAACCAAATGAATAAATAAAATAAAACAACACTGAGATTCCATCTTACTCCAGCAAGACTGGCTATCATCAAGAAATCAAATAATAGGGGCCAGGGATTTAGTTCAGTGGTTCTGGCGCCTGCCTCAAAAGCGCAAGGTCCCGAGCTCAATCCCCGGTACCAAAAGACAAAACAAACAAAGAAATCAAATAATGGGCTGGGGATTTAGCTCAGTGGTGCTGCCTCCTGCTTCGCAAGCCAAGGTCCTGAATTAAATCCCAGATACAAAAAATAAATAAATAAATAAAATTATGCAAGTTTTGAAAGAGTTCTTGATTTTGAAAGGAAAAGGCAGAAAGGAGTGGGAAAGTAGGTAACACTCCACCTGACCGCGATGTGAATCGTGCGTGATATTTTGGCGCCATGGTAACACCCACCCTGCGAGTGGAAGGGAGGAGGAGCTGAAGTCCTCCTCCAGGGCTGGTGTGCAAGCTCACACTCACCATGGTCTGAGACGGTTTGCTCCCTGCGGTTACGGGTGGAAGCACTGCCCCTGGTCCCGCGGCGTGGAGTGGAAGAGGCGGCCAGCAGATGGTCACGAGGCCACCGAAGTCCGCCCGTGCCCGTGGGTCACGGCTGTCTCCAGCAGCCGGGAGCTGCAGCCTGGGGGCTCCTTGACCCGCTCTCTTCCTGCCTTTCCGGTCATGCTTCGCTCGTGCTCCAGCCGAGGGCGCCACCGGCCAGCCACAAGTGACCCCGCCAGAGGCCCCTCACCAGACGTGGGCGCCAAGACCTGAGCACATAAACCTTTCTTTTAGAAATCCTTCCCCACCCATCACGTATTTTGTTACAGCACCACAAAGGGAAAGTGGACCATATCTATGAAGTACATAAAACTCAATCTGTTCGTCCAAACCTACTCTTTCCTGCGGGGGGCTAATGTCCCCAAGGCACAGCCACCCACGCTGGCATTTCAAACCCAGGTGTACCACACTCAACTTAACGCCAAACCAGTTCCTTTCTCCCACTTCCCCTTTTCCTTGCAACCTTTAAGTGGTGACTTTTCCTTTTTTTTTTTTTGGTACCAGGGATCGAACTTGGGTCCTTGCGCTTGCGCAGCAGGCATCGAAACCACTGAGCTAAATCCCCAGTCCAGACTTTTCTTCTTTTAAGCTTATCTAGTCACTTTTTTTTTTCTGGCTGTACTGGGGATTGATCCCAGGGCCTTCATACTGAGCTATGTCCCCAGCCTCTTTAAAAAAAAAAAAAATCTTTTGAGCCAAGGTATTGCTAAGTCCCTAAGTTGCCCAGGTAGAATTTCAACTTGTGATCCTCCTGCCTCAACCTCCCAGAGTCCAGTCACAATTCTTATTAATTCTTCTCCTATAGAGACACAAATTGCTTCCCTATATACACTGTCATTATGTTCATTGGGACCCTATTACTTCCCGAAGATATTACTGCAAGAGTCTCCAATCTGTGGAGTACCGTTAAATTATTATTGCTGCTGCTGCAATAGTCAGTGAACAATCAGCATGAGGAAGCTGTAACGGGAAGTGGCGACACTGTCTCTGTACAACCAGGGTCCAGGACCCAAGGTCCCTTGCTATGCATGAGGGATACTACTGGCCTGTTGGACTGGAACTCGGAGCCTTGCAATGCTAAGCGTGTGCTCTACCACTGAGCTATAGCCCCAGCCCCTGCCAAATTAATTTTTATGCAATCTAATGGCAGTTAGGTCTGTATGATCTGTCCAGCCTTTGAACAGTTTGTGCACTCATCTCCACTCTACGCCTGTAACTGTTTGAGATGATAGGAAAATCCAGTTCTCCAATGTTGGTTTGTCAGTGCCATGCAAATGAAGTAGAAAAACAACATCCTCAGCGACTTCTTCTCTGCAACTCTCAGACCTCACTGCTTTAATTCTAGTTATTTTGGTGCTTGGTCTCTGACTATATGTACATTTTCCTTTCGGGACTGAAATGATTGTCATATTATTATTACTTTATTTATTTATCTGTTTAGAGACAGGGTTTCCCTATGTAGTTCAGGTCACCCTCAAACTATGTAGCCCAGGCAGGCCTCAAACTTGCAGCAATCCTCTTGCCTCAGCCTCCTGAGGGCTGGGATTGCAAGAGTGCATCACCACATTCAGCTTTCATGTCATATTAATGCCTAGAAGTTTTGGTTCTCTCTCTTTTTTTTTTTTTTGGTACCAGGGATCAAACTCAGGTTCCTGTGCTTGCGCAGAAGGCAACAAAACCACTGAGCTAAATCCCGGGCCCTTGGTTCTCATTTTTAATGTTTCAAGTTTGGTCACCTGCTTGGTGATAATTCATGATAATTCAGTTCAGAACAAACTCCTCAAGCAGGCAATCATGGCCACTCTTATCTATGGCACATTCTCTTTCCACTTCTTTTAAGACTCTGAGATACCGTGTTGCATAACTAGGCAGAATCAATCGCACTGAATATACTATGATTTGTATATTTTGGTTTCTGGTTGTTGTTTGCACTGTTGGGGACCAAACCCTGGGCCTCACGCGTGCCAGGCCAGCCCTAGCATGTATGTTCTCCTCCCAGCCTACCGAGGCCATCCTTTCTGCACAGCGTGGCTGTGAGATGCCCACCTGCAGTCACCCTTCCTTCCACACCAACTGCTAGAGCAAGTTCTGGCCAGAAATGAGGTCTAAGACAGCATGGGACTCAGTGGCAATTTCTCCCTTTCAAGGCAAGTGTTCTCACTCTTTTCTTTGGTCCTGTTAAACATGCCTCTTTCTAAGACCTGGGCCCTTGTTCTAGGACCTTGGGTCCTGTTTTTCCCTGGTAACCTGCTTAGGACCCTAGTCCTACAGTGACATTGTCACGTGTCCTCTCTCCTGCTGACTGCTGAATCGCCCGGCTAAGGGCCATGGCCATGCACACTGGACACAGCGGCCCAGACCAGACCTGTGGCGATGTCTATCAAGTCTGGTGCTAGTCTCCTATCAGTGGGGTCTGATTACAGCTTCTGACCACTTTTCAAGTCTTATTTACCATGCTATTCATTATGTCTACTGATACTATCTCGAAATGAAAGGGCACCAAACCTCTTAAATCCCAGCACTTTAGAAGGCTGAGGCGGGAGGATCGCAAGCCAGAGCCTGGGCAACTTAGTGATTTAGCAAAACACTGTCTCAAAATAAAAAACTAAAACAGCAGTATTCACATGTTATCTTGTAATATCAAGTCCACTGCTATAGATATTATGCTTTTGAAAGCCAGGGATTTAGCTCAGTGGTTCCGCCGCCTGCCTCGCAAGCACAAGGACCCGAGTTTGATCCCTGGTACCAAAAAAAAAAAGAATACTACTATTATGCTTTTATTAAGAGACTTAAAGTCACCTGAACTATAAAATCATCAAAACATGATTTTTTTAAACTGTATTACCATTTTGGATAACTTGTCTCTTACTGGCTGACCCAAAATATGTGCCAACTTTATAATATGACCTGCTCTGAATGATAAAAAAAATCAGAATTTAAAAATAATTTTAAAATAATGATATTGCTGGGGATGTAGCTCAGTGATAGAGCAATTGCCTAGCACGTGTGAAGCCTACAGTTCAATCCCCAGTAACACACACACACACACACACACACAATCACACACACTCAATGATATCAAAGACAAACTGATGCAACTATAACACTATAAGTATAGATTATAGTAAGTGAAAATAATGGCTGGGCATGGTGGCATATCCCAGCACTTAGGAGGCTGAGGCAGGAGGATTGCCATGAGTTTGAGACCAGCTTGGGCTACATAGTGAGTTTAAGGCCAGCCTGAACTATATAGCAAGACTACCTCAAAAAAAAAAAAAAAAAAAAGACAAGTAGATTACCTGCAAAAGTCTTTTGTTCAAATCCCTAGAAGTAACTTCCTTATTGTGAAAGTATTTCCATATATATTTTGGGGGGGCGGTCTTTTGAAACAGGGTCTTACTATGTATAGTGCCTCAGCCTCCCGAGTGATGGGACTAAAGGTGTGTGCCACCATGCCCAGCTATATTTTTTTCTTTAGAGTGAAATCTAAGGTGCATCTATTCATATCATCAATTAACTACCTCATTAAATTCTGCAAAAAAGCTTACAGAACATACTTGGAACTACAACTATAAATCAATTAATAGGGCCAGGGATTTAGCTTAGTGGTTCTGCCGCCCACCTCGCAAACAGAAGGACCCGAGTTCAATCCCCAGTAACAAAAAAAACCCCCCAAAAAACCAACAACAATAACCCTTGTTTTGTTCTTGGAAAACTTTATTTTAGTTTAAACAACAAAGCAAATAATGAATATGTCTTCCAGGAACAGATGAAAGAGTACAGTCATCCTCCATAGCTGTACAGCTGGCAAACTCCAAATGAGAGACATAATATAGGTAAAAGACACTTATTCCAGATTATATTCATCTCCCAATTTGAGATCATAAACATGAGTCAATAAAATAAAACAGATTTACATGAAGTCACATCAGCAAAACTGAGCAAGTGCTATCTAATGTTTTGGGAAAATTTCTTTCTACTTAGTACTCAGAAGACTGAATTCTTTTTTGTTTTTTTTTAGAACCAGGAATTGAACTCAGAATCTTGCACTTGCCAGGCAGGTGCTGGCGGCACTGAGCTAAATCCCTGGCCCCCCAGAGGACTGAATTCTTAAAGATCAGGAACAATGGTTCATACTAGCAGTATTACAAACAATGATATTTATTTCTATCAGTTTAATAAAATTATTAGAGTTCAAGATGTTATTTAAAATCTAGATGTAGGCTCAAACAGTGAAGTCAAGGCCAAAAAATGAAAACATTACATTTCTTAAGAAGAATCATAAAAAATGACTATTTGGACATTGTCTTAATTTACAATTGGAAAGTCTATTTTTTTTTTTTTTTTTGGTACCAGGGATCAAACTCAGGACCTTGTGCTTGTGTGGCAGGCGGTGGAACCACTGAGCTAAATCCCTGGCCCTGGAAAGTCTATTTTTAATGTATAAAAAAAAAGACATGGTAGCACTGTTACACACTTGAAAAGGAGTCCAAATAGAATATCCCCACTAACAACAGCAACTGAGAAATCTAATTCAATCTACAGATTTTATTTCTGATCAATTAACAAACTTTCAGTTATTTCTTTGAGCCTGTCTTCTGCTACAATGTATAACTTACCAGAAAACTACAACATTGATTTTCTTTCTTTCTTTTTCTTTTTTTCCTCACTATGTAGTTCAGGCTGCCCTTGAACTCACTATGCATCCCAGGCTGGCCTGGATCTCAAGGCAATCCTCCTGCCTCCGCCTCTCAAGTGCTGGAATCACAGGCATGTGCTACCACACCCAGCTAAAATTGATTTTCAAGGTCTTCTTCCATTATATTTTCTTTCTTTTTTAACTAAGATATTTTTAGATATAATGAGACAGTGCAGAACAGTTGTAATGGCCTTCAATAACTTTCTTTTACTAAATTAGTTGGTCTTATTCCAATGAAGGCTAATGACAAATTTATCCAACAGTCTTTGATTTCGGAAGTAATTATAGTAGAATACTGCATTATATACAGACATCTTCATCAATGACCTACTTACATCTCAAACCAATTATCTTTCTAAACAATTTACAAGTGTAATATATGCCGTATTGTTTAAAATAAATATACGATATATAGTTTCTACATTCTCATACAGGCTTAAAAATGAGGTAATCAAAACTTAACTGATTAAACCGCTTATCATTCTGGAACTATCTTAGGGAAATGATGGTGATATATTCTCTTCTTAGGTCTTCCCGTGATTCCTCTGAGTATATCCAAGTACCTTTCTCTATGCTGGAAAATTATGTAAAAAATCCTTAAGCTTTGTTGGATAGTCAGTCATGACTCCAGTTGCTCCCAGATCAAAAGCTCTTTTGTACTCTTGTTCGTCATTTAATACCCAAACATACACCTAAAATCAGAATCATGAAAAGTGTGAAATGTTAAAATAAAAAATTATTTTTATAACATGCATCCACTATAACCTCAACATACTTAGAAAGTAGCCCTTGTCATTTTGAGAAATCAGAGGCACCATTAACCCCTTTAACAACTCCATTTTGCTCATTAAACATGCACAATCCCACCTCCCTGACCTCAGCTGCCCTCGTCTCTACGTAAGAGCAATGGAGCTGCAGAAATGCCGATGCTCTATTACTAACTGTAAGGCCAAGCTCCCAGTTCTCACTGATAAATCAGGAAGGTGTCAGCATCAGAGCCAGGGCTGAAAAGGTTAGGAAAAAGGAAGAAAAAACAAAGGTAGGAGCTCAACAGGACAGGCTTATTTCAGAGTAAACCTGAGAGGGACCACCCTGGCACTTAGACCAGGCCGGTAACTCTCCCACAGGCTGGGAGGTCTTTACAGGGTCCTAAGCATGAAGAGGGGCTGGGAAAGGAAAAGGTCCAAATGAGACTTTCAAGGGGGAGAGTTCAGTAGAAAGGAGCTGGGGGTGGGGGGGCTCCCCACAGCACTAGGGCTTGAGCAAGCATAGGGCGTGTGAGGGGGGCTGCTGTGAGGAGCAGGGCTGAAGAGTGACGGGAGGTAGGGGTGCAGCCTTAGGGACCCACAACTGTACATCTTGAGCAGGGGTAAAAGCACAGTGGGATGAGAGGCTGAGTGGTCTCTGGTCAGCCTAGGATGGCAGCAGTTGGACTCCTTCACAAGTCACTGAAAAGCCCCTGCCCTTCACACACATGTTAAACCAATGGGTTACGCTGTTTCCAAAATGCATCATCCCAGAAACTTACTTGAATGCCTCGGGCAGTGAGGTGGTCAAATAAAGCTTTCCTCATTAATAATCTAGAAAGGAAAACCACAACAGATTTAGGTATTTATTAGTTCTAAGGGCTAGAATTAGCCTTTATCTTAGTTGATTAGAGTTTAATAATTCCTAGTTTCATTTAATTCCAATGCTTCACCAATACAAACCAAGGCCTCAGGGAATAATGGCCACTGCAGATGAATTTATGATTGAACGAAGTGCTAGATCCCTTTAGCTGCTGGCTGGACAACCAGATCCTCTGCTAGTGCTGCCACAGATCCCCGGGAGACCCGTTCTTAGCCACCTAAGCACCTCTGTGGAGAAGAGGCTTCCTTGCCTTCCCTGCTGGAGCCATTATGGGAGTGAGAAAGGCTAAAAAGGATGTGCTCCCAACTTTCCAAGTTAAGTAAGGCAGGAAATTCAGGTCAACTTCTACAACATTGTAGTTCAATTATATAATGGATTAGGGTGTTTTTTTTTTATTTTTATTTTTTGGTACCGAAGATTGAACTTGGGACCTTGCACTTTCAAGGTAGGTGGCGGAACCAGAGCTAAATCCCCAGAACAGAATGTATTTTATTTTATTTAATTTTATTTTTGAGACAGGGTCTATGTACTCCAAGCTGGCTTTGAACTCATTATGTAGTCCAGGCTGGCCTCGAATTTATGGTGATCCACCTGCCTCAGCCTCCGGAGTACTAGGAATTACAGGCACGAGCCACCACATCTAGCTTTTTTTGGGGGGGGGGGGAACAAGGTCTCACTATGTAGCCCAGGTTGGCCTCCAATGCATGGCAATCCTCCTGACTCAACCTCCCACGTGCTGGGATTATAGGCTCCCACCACCATCCCCGGCCTCTAAGACTCTCTGAAGGAGGAGCTAAATAATAAAAGGCTGTGTGTGATTTAGGACTATTAACATATTTAAGCATTCAAGGCTCCATTTTAAAGCAAATTACAGAACAAATTTTTATGGTTTTTACCTAAATTTAAGCTCAGTATGCTGTAGAAATTAAGGCATTTTCTTCAAAGTAGATATCCACCCTGTAGGCAGGACCACCTTTCTACTTTTAAGTTAATATTTAATATGTGAAGTGCAAATATTCCTAAGAAGTATGCCAGTAGGCAATATACGCTTTTACACATACTACATTGATATACATACTTTTTACCATGTTTTGGACCCTAGGCTAGTGGAAACAGCAAATAAATATTCATCCCAACTCGGATACTAATTAACTACATAATCCTAAGTAAATCATTTAGATGGTGAATGAGGGCTGTTTTCTCATGAAAGTGGGTGAGATTACATTTCAAGCTAGTTCTAAATGACTCCAGGGGCCGGGAATTTAGCTCAGTGGTTCCAGCACCTGCCTCACAAGCGCAAGGACCCAACTTCGATCTCCGGTACCAAAAAAACAAAAGAATCTAAATGACCCAGACATAGCTACTTCCAGAGTAGGTGCTCAACAAGTCTTCATTACCAATCATAGGTGGAAAGTTTGCTCTGGATTATAAGTATTATATTTAATAAATATAGCAACAGCAATAATAGTTTCTCACATATCAAGAAACTAAAATTCTTACGTATCAGAAAGCCAGATGAGAAACTTTTGACTTCTGGACATGGTGTGGGGCTCTTTTAACCTAAAGGAAGACAAAGTTTTAATTAGAACACAGGAATAGATCAGTGTGATTAAAGTTAAGTTCAAAAATGAAAAGAGTGCCTAGTTAGTATGTTCTCAAAACATTTTGTAGACAAAAATAATGTATAGCTGAGTTTGGTTTCCTGTTTCCACTAGCTTCATGCTAACTTTTTGTGACCACTATTTAAAGGTGAAAAAATAAAGAAGCATTGTTTTCCCAGAGTCCTAGTGCCCAGGGCTCATCAAATCTCTTCTTTTTTGGTGAAATCTCTTTCTCTTGCTTTGTTGGCTACAATTCAGTATGTGGTAGACTGAAACATACAACCAAACTGTACTCTGGATTAAAAGGTATTTGGGGTAAAAGTGAAGCGTTTAATGCATTTTTCTTTCCTTTTCAATACTGGAAGATGTGGACCATGTCCTTTTTAATTATGTTTCCTACTAAAAGGGTCTCCTTAAATTTTCAGCCCGATGCTGAGTTCCTTCTTCCTTCTCTTGACACCTACAGTACAACAAACTGTGTCACTAACCTCGGGTGGTGGCCATAAGAAAATTTCTGATGAGCCTCTCTCCTAACAAGATTTCTCAGCTGCCTTCTCAAGGTAATTCTGAGAGTCCCCACTTTTAAAAAATGGGTGCTGGAGATCAAATCCAGGGACTTCCATATGCCAGGAAAGTGCTCCATCGCTGAACGATAGCCCCAGACCACCTCAGTCTTACATTTCTTTTTTCTCTTTCTCTTTGAATTTAGTTTTTATTATAAGCTCTCTAAATGAAGGACAAGTTCTTTTTTTTTTTTTTTTGGTACTGGAGATCAAATCCGGGACCTTGCGCTTGCGAGGTAGGCGCCAGAACCACTGAGCTAAATCCCCGGGCCCAAGTACAAGTTCTTTTTTCCCTCAACTTGGACCTAGATAGAAAGTCCTGGTTGTAATTTCAGGTATCTCAGGGACTGAGTACCTCATATACTAATTATCTAATTGAAGACAATTATTAGATTGTTTTTCAATAACATTTACTTCCAAAATGAAATGTGGAATTAATCTAGAGAGTGTAAGAGCCTATCTCAGGCAGGAGAAAAGCTAGCACTTCAGGAATAAACAGGATCATTTTCACACAGAAAGTGGAAATAGTTTCTTGGTAGAAGTATTTCTGTTGTTTTGGTCTGAGAAGCAGCTACAAGACTTCTGATAAATATAATTGGCAAGGGGGCTGGGGATTTAGCTCAGTGGTTCTGCCACCTGCCTCACAAGCTCAAGGTCCCGAGTTTGATCCTTGGTACCAAAAAATTAAAAAATATATATATATAATTGGCAATAGTTAGAACAAACATGCTCATCACTAAGAAACTCAAGTAGGAAAATGGTCATGAAACTGAAGCTAAGCACAAGAGTACTGACCACACTTGTTTGAACCAATATTTTCAAATGACTGCTGCACTAACGTTCAGTTTTATTATTATTATTATTATTACTAATACTACTATTATTATTTTGCAGTGCTGGGGATCGAAACCAGGACTCACTCATGCTAGATAAGCACTCTAACACTGAGCTACCTCCCCAGCCCCAGCCTGTTTGTTTAAAGTTCTCAACGGGGATGAAAAATGTTTTAACTCACATTTACACGATCTCCCAAGGAGCTCCAAGTTCCTCTGTCATCACTTGGTTATTCTTATGAATTTACAGCTAAAAAATCACATTCTGAGTACATAGGATTAGGAGACAAAGCTTTCTTTAATAATAAGATAATTTAACAATAAAAGCTATTAAGTACTGAAAGCTTATTACTTATCAGGCAATTCTAAGTGGTTAAAATATTTTTATCTTTCTATTAAATTAGTGCGTGAAAAGCAAGGCTTTGCACCTAGCAGAGAAATTATATAAATACAGAAATATCTTACTCAAACTAACTCTACTCTTCTTTCTCCTGTCTGCAAAGGTTTTTCTCTGTTTTTGTTCCTTTCTTTTTTTTTTTTTTTTTTTTTTGGGTTCTGGGGATCAAACTTGGGTCCTTGCACTTGCGAGGCAGGCAGTGGAACCACTGAGCTAAATCCCCGGCCCTGTTCCTTTCTTTTTTTCAGTAGTTGTAGTGGTAGTTGTTTCTCCTCCTAAATGTATTAATCCTACTGGTGAATTTGGAGTTTAATGGAGTTTTAGCTGGGTGTTGCTGCCAATGAAATAAAGTAAGGGAAGTTGAAGGTAGTTGGTCATTTTTTTTTTTTTTGGTAGTTGCGCTTTGATGTCAAAATAAAAGAATTATTAAGCTTCTTGGTTTGTAATTAGGCTCAATTCTTTTTATCTGACTTCTGAGTACACAGGCACAGAACGTCAGTATAACCTGTGGGTGGCCCAGAGTGGACCCTCAATTTACAACTGGCCTGACATACAAACAACTTGGGTTAATTAGGCTAATGGAAGATTCATCTGCCTCTTGTTATCTATAACATGTACCCAGGTAAACATCCAAATCTCAGCTGTACTAACAACCAATCTGAGTTACAACCACCCCTTGGGAACTGAGTTTGTAAGTCAAGGGTCCACTGTATTTCTAATCCTCTATCATTTTAAAAAATGTGTTTTGATTATATCAAAATCATGGTCAAGATAGGTCAGGTAATAGAACATGGAAACAACTACAGAAATCTATCCTTTCTGTGTGCATATTGTGTGGAGGGATCAAACTCAGAGCCTTGTGCATGCTAGGCAGATGCTACATCACTGCCCTATACCTCCAGACCCACAGATCTTTATCATTGACATTTGTCTTAGTGTATTTTTCTGTTACTGTAACAAAATACCTGAGGCTAGATAATTTATAAAGAAAAGAGGTTTATTTAGCTCACAGTTCTAGAGGTCCAAGAACATGACAATGTATCTGGTTGGCTTCTTGTGAGGGCTTGATGGTGGCAGAAAAGCAGTGGGTATGTGTGAAAGAGGGGTACATGTATAAGAGAGGAAGCAAGAGAAAGCCAAAGATGAGAATTCATTCACACAAGAAAAGCATTAATCCTTCTTAATGACCTGATCACCTCTCACTGTTCCCACCACCAATCAACACTATCACACTGGGGCCGGGCCCTGACATGAGATGAATGCCAGCCAACCCACAGTGGCAGAGTGCATGCTTAGCATGTGCAAAGCTCCAGGTTCAAGGTCCAGCACTAAAACACGAACAAATCAGAGCAATACTGATATTAGTGAGTTTTTTTCATAATCCTTCTGTAACTGACAGCTGATGAAAACAGGGTAAACCACTTACTTCAATGTGATAGCAGGCATTGGGATTTCAAAAAACTGCTCTCGAATAGGCACAAAAGGCAAGAGGCCAGTGAAGAAAAGGCCAAGAATAAGCAGAACACGTTGTAGACTGAAGAGTATAGGAATATCTGAATTCTGAAAAACAGTATTTTATGTTACTTTACAGTAATTGCTCAAATAAAGAGCATTATTTCATAAGCCTCAAAATTTCCCAACACTGTATCTCAACATCCATTGAAGGACTCCCTAAATTACAACAATCCTTAGAAATAGCTAGTCTGCAACAAACAAGTAAGGTTCTACCTTGGAGCCCTATAATGTTATTAATATTGCTGAAGTTTCTCTATTCCTTCTCTCTAAATTTGCAATACCACTTCTGTGTGGTCATAGTATTCACAACTAGAAACTAAACATACTAGAATCTAATGAGACAAAATATAGAGATGAATAAAAGAAATATTCAGTAATCTGACACCTGTTTTAAAAAGAGGTGTGATCAAAAAGTTACAGTAGGGGCCAGGGATTTAGCTCAGTGGCGCCCTGCCTGCCTCTCATGTCCAAGGTCCTGAATTCAATTCCCGGTACTAGAAAAAAAATTACAGTAAAATGCATTATCATTAGTCCCCCTCAAAATACTCATACATTCACATTCTATAGTCATTAAACAGCAAATCCCCATTCTCCTTCCCCAGCACTGCATCAGACACACACTCCATCATTCTTGCTGCTTTCTGAAGCAGTTCTGGAAGTTCTCGTTTATATCTTTTGCAGCTGCCTTTATGTCCTGAATCCATTCAAAATGGTTACAGGAATTTCTATTAAATAAAAGCATTATGGTGTGCCTTTATCTACTTTATTCACTGGATCTGGCACCATGTGACTTCTGACTTTTCCCCAAAGTCAAAATGACCACAGAAGATAAATGTTTTGAATCAATTCAGGACTTTGAAGTAGCCATGACAATACAACCAAAGATTCTGACAAAAGAGGACTTCTAGACCAGCTTCATAAGAGTGGCAGGATTGATGGAATAAATGTATTCAAAGAGAGCAGGAATACTTTGAAGGGGATCAATGGCAATGTTTTTTTACTATAATAAATTTTTTAAAACAATTTAAAATCCACTGTATTTTGTGATCACACCATGTGCTCTATAGAACATGGTATCTATATGTCATGTTTCATTTATGTTATGGATCAAATACAAAACATAAATAAGATTTGGTAAGTCTAAGAATCTAACCATTATTCTATGTTTCTACTGGAAAACATGTTTGAAATTTCAAAACTTTAAAAACTGAAAGGCATATCTTTCATATACATAAAATATACATCACATAACATAAAATTTGCTACCTTAACTTTTTTTTTTTCATTTTATCTTGAGACTGGCTTTCACTCTATAGTCCAAACTCACGTAGAATTTGTGATCCTTCTGCCTCAGCCTCCTGAGTGTGATTTGGGCCTGAAACACCACTTCGTGTTCCCATTTTAACTGTTTTTAAGTGACCACCTTAGGGATATTAAGTATATTCATGTTCTTGTGCAATCAATCTCTAGAAGTCTTTTCATCTTACAAAGCTGGAATTCTATACTCATTAAACAGCAACTCCCCACTCCCCTCCTCTAACCTCTTCACACACACACACACACGCACTTTCAATGGAGTTCTAGGGCTTAAAATGAATTTTTCTATAAGAGTAATAAATTAAAAATCATGAAAAAGGGCCAGGGATTTAGCTCAGTGGTTCCGCGGCCTACCTTGCAAGCAGAAGGTCCTGAGTTCGATCCCTGGTACCGACCCCCCCAAAATCATGAAAAAGTAATTCATTTTAAATAACTAACTGTAAATTACCTACTTCTTTATTTAAAGAAAAAAAGAACCTTTAGGGATTTTGTTTTGCCTGTGTTCACATGGTGGTTTGGTAATGTTTCTGACTTACTTATGCAGGTATTTCAGCTATAACACAGCATATGAGTCCCTGAAAAACCCTGACTTCTGCAAATTCATACACTAAGGATCACAGAGCTTAGGGAAAAACAGGGTAATGGGCTGGCCCTCAAAATTTATGCCACTTTGAAATGAGAGCACTAAAAACAATAACGTACTTCTGGAGAGCTATGCATGCCTCCTAGGAGTGGGTAGGACAGCAGTAAGCCGGCAAATGTTGAACAACAGACTATACTTTATATCTTTTAAATTAGAACAGTGAGATGGGACTGAGACATTTTAATTTTCTTTCTTCCCTTTTTTTTTGGTTTTTTGGGACAGGGTCTTGCTATGTAATTCAGGCTGGCCTCGAACTGGCTGCCTTAGCCTCCAGAGTGCTGGGATTATGTCATTTGTCATTTTCTAAACTGTTTGGGTCATTCCAATGTGTAGCAATATTTAAGAACCACTGCACTATGTGTGAATGAATAAAAAGCCAGTAAGTGAGAACCAGTGCCACACATTTTTCCATCACCACTGTGTGTTCCACTTCCTTTTACTTTTATATTTTATGTTTATAGCATCTGGGTATTAAAGGAGTAATGCAAAATTCTGCTAGGTCATATTCGGAAACTATAAAAAAAATGCATCAATTATACAGCATGTTGGTAATATGAATGACAATTATTGAGACATTTTTACTGTGATGCTGGAATGGCATTGCAGAAAGGTTTTTGGAGTTTCAAATTCTAAAATAAGAGAAAGCCAGAGGCTTCTGGGGGTGGGGTGGTGGAAATGTGAATCAAGGGAAAACCTGTGTGCCAGGAGAGATTTTTAAAATTTTGAAATAATTATAGACTCATAGGAAGCTGCAAAACTAGCAAGAGTCTCATTTGTCCTTCACCCAGGTTCCCCAAAAGGTGACATCTGATGTAACTGCAGTACAAGGTCAAAGCAGGAAGTGGCTCTGGTATTTTTTTTTTTTTTTTTTTTTTTTTTGGTACCGGGGATGGAACTTGGGTCCTTACGCTTGCGCAGCAGGCGGTGAAACCACTGAGCTAAATCCCTGGCCCCTCTGGTATATTATTATTATTTCACACCACAGACTTTATTCAGTTTTCACCTTTTTCTGAGGGGAGGTGTTACCATTTAAAAAACTGTATTCATTTGTGTGTGTGTGCAATTTCTATGCAATTTTAATCCACATTTAGATCCATGTAGCCACCACCATAAGCAAGATATAGCTGGGGATTTAGCTCAGTGGTTTCGCTGCCTGCTGCGCAAGTGCAAGGACTGGAGTTCGATCCCTGGTACCAAAAAAGCAAAACAAACAAACCATAAGCAAGATACAAAACTGTTTCATCACCATATGAATTCCCTTGTGGCATCTCTTGGAATTTATACCAACTCTCTACCCTACCCTTAGTCCCTGTCCCCTGGCAGCCATTAATCTGCTTTCATGTATGTTTATAGTTTTTCCCCCCAGGTACTGGGATATATAAATGAAGTCATACAGCATGTGTGATTTTTTTTAAGTATATAATCTTTTTTTTTTCCTGGTTCCGGGGATCAAACTCAGGACCTTGCACTTTCGAGGCAGGTATGGTGCCACTGAGCTAAATCCCTGGCCCCTAGTATAACCTTTTGAGGTTGTTTTTTTTTTTTTACTAAGCATAAGTGTCTTGAGTACCATCCAGGGTGCTGCAGGTATTAAGTTCACTCTCTTTCACTGCTGACTAGTATCCCATCGTATGGATGTGCCAGTTTGTTTTCCTATTTGCTTACTGGAGACATTTGGTTTTCTCCAGCAGTTTGCTTATACAAATGAAGTGCCTACAAAAATTCAGGTACACAATGAATGTCATCATTATGTTCTGCAAACATATGCTAGTACAAATTACAAATGAAAAAAAATTCAGGTACAAGTTTTTGTATGCACTTTCATTTTTCTGGGATAAATGACATTGCTGCTTCACATAGTACTGTGGGTTTATTTTTATAAAAAGCTAACTACTGAAGAGAGTGGCTATACTTTTTCACATTCACTACCAGCAACTTGTAAGAGATCCAGTTTCTCTGCCTCGTTTCCAGCTTTCAGTATCATCACTTTTTATTTGAAAATGTTTGTGATGATATAAAAAGGTCAGCAGGTCACGTGGTATACTGTACAATACCTCTTTGTAATAACATCTGAAAATAACACCAGACAATGATTCGTCTTGGAGAAGTCTTAGTTCTAAGCTCCTAGCCAGGAGCTGAGGATGCTGGGTTCCCCCCAAACACAAGTGATCTTGGGACCTCACAGAACCTGCTGTACATAAAGAAAACCTCCCTGGGCTGGGGATTTAGCTCAGTGGCACCGTGCCTGCCTTGCAAATGCAAGGTCCTGAGTTCGATCACCGGTACCCAAAAAAACCCAAAACAAAAAAAAAACAACAAAAAAGAAAACCTAGGGCCAGGGATTTAGCTCAGTGGTTCCAGTGCCTGCCGTGCAAGCACAAGGTCCCGAGTTCGATCCCTGGTACCAAACAAACAAAAAAAGAAAACCTCCCTGCCGCAATGACAGCCTCCACTGCACTGTGGACTGCACTGGTGCTGATCATAGATGTTTTTGCCTTATTTGCTAGGAAGAAAGGACTGTTCCAGATGAGTTCTCCCTATATAAGAATTACTACTTCTGTCGTGATACTTCTGCACTATGGTATCACTTGTAGGATAAAAAGGAGTCTTTGATGCTTATAATTTTTAAAAACATTTTAAATTTTCAATTCTCTTAGCCGGCTATTATTTCAAAGAATATCAAATTAGGGGCCGGGGATTTAGTTCAGTGGTTTCGCTGCCTGCCGCACAAGCCCAAGTACCCAAGTTCAATCCCCGGTACCAAAAAAACAAACAAACAAACAAAAAAGAATATCAAATTAAATTTTTTGAGACAGGGTCTTGCTGTGTAGTTCACCCTGGCCTTGAATTCACTATGTAGCCCATGCTTGCCTTGAACTCGTGGCAATCCTCCTGCCTCAGCCCCTAGAGTGTTGGGACAACAAGCGAGAGCTACGATGCCAGCTCAAATTAATTTTTATAGATTTAATTCCTTCAAGCAGAAAACTTTCAGTGAGTGGATGGCCCTGCTTTATATAATACCCCAAAATCATGTGCTTGGCTGAGTTGAAGTCTATGTGGGGGATAGGGCAAAAAGAAGTTGATAGGCTAAATACTTTAATTAAACATTACATAAACAATTCAACTGCTTAATTAAAATCAACATTAAAATGGGATTCATACTTTGTTTTATAAGGCACATAAAATGTTGATAAACAATATTAGCTTGTGAAAATAATTCTGTGAACCAATCTGATTACAATTAACTTAGATTGCAAAGTCAAAATCTATTATGTCTATAAGCAAACATCTAGATAACTGCTTCCATTCAGTACCATCTGTCTTTCTATGCAGGCTATGAAATAAGAGAAGTTTTAAAAATTGTTACTGTAATGACTTATTGATAGATACACAACAACAGCAAAGACACATCATTCTGTATCAGTTTTGAAGCTTACCTCTTTGTAGCACTTTTCCACAATTTCATAACTTGCATTACCCCACACTGTTAAGTGTTCTCGCTTATACTGCTTCACCAATTCTGAAACCTACATGTGAAAATTCAAAATTTTATGCATGTGCCTATCTGTAAATCCACTTGTTTCATTTTACTTAAAAAATGAATTACAAGTGACTATCTGCCAACGGTTAGTGTAAAATTTTGAAAAACCTGCTATATAATTTCTTTGATAGAATATAACTATTTAGTAATTTGACATAAAATAATCACAACCGAAATGTTAAACTAGAAATTAATTATATGAATACCAGAATGACTGATGCAGAGCTTTTTTTTTTTTTTTTTTGAGACAGGGTCTCACTGTGTAGTTCAGGCTGGCCTTAAACTCACTATGTAGCCCAGGCTGGCCTCAAACTTGCAGTGATCCTCCTGCCTCAGCCTCCCAAGTGCTGGGATCACAGGTGTGCACCACCATGCCCAGCTCATGCATAACTTACTTCCATCCATGGCTGAGACATGCCAAGTCACTCTGAAAACAGACTTTCCTACAGTCAAGTGACCTCTACCAGGCATTATTTACAACAATGACAATCCCCAGAGTATCCCATTTCCTTGAACACTGTCAATCTATGCAGTTATCTACTCTAACCTTCTTTCAGTTTGTGAAACTGGATGCAACACACTGAGAGAAGCCAATGTCTTGAGTACCTTCTTAATTAGCACATTGTTGTTGACTTTGATATCGATGTTAATGGGGGTGTTAGGAAAGGCCTCAAAAACTTCCTTCAGTAATGGAATTCGGGTATCTTTTCCTTCACATTGGCACGCTGAGAAAGAAAGATTTTTAAATGTATTTTTAAGAAATAATTTTTACTTTTTTAATGATTAGAAAAGTTAAAGAGTATATTCATATAGGACACTTAAAAAAATGAGGCAAAGTATAAAAAAGAAAAGAAAACTCATGTAAAATCCAACAACTCAGATATAACCATTATGACCCTTGGGTGTTTTTTCTGTATTCTTTTTTCCCTATTCGTAATTGAATACAGTTTGCCTACAAATTTTAGCCTGATTTTTTTACATAAATAAAAATATTTTCATATTGACACATTTAAAATTGTGATTTAAATATTAATTACTTTTTTTATCTTAAGATAACTGTAGAATTACATGCAGTTGTAAGAAATAACACAGAGAGATCTATGCACCTTGTATCCAAATTCCCAATGGTAACCTTTTGGAAAACTATAGTACCATATTACAACCAGGATACTGACATTGATTTAATCTACTGATTTTATTCTATTATGATGATTTTAAAAGGTTTCAAAATACTCCACTGAGTAGCTATATGATAATTTAATCTTTTTTTTTTTGGTACTGGGGATCGAACTTGGGACCTTGTGCTTGCAAGGCAGGCGCCTGAACCACTGAGCTAAATCCCCAGCCCTAATTTAATCATTTTAATTTAACCATTCCCTAATTGGTAGACACTGAAACTGTCTAAAGTTTTGGTATGATATCATCATTCAATTTTTCAGACTGAGAATACTGTTCCGGGAAAGTTAGTACACACTAATTCACAAATATGTTGAAGAATTATTATCAATGCAGCTTTGCAAAAAAAATTAGGGTCAATGAAAAATTAGAAGGGGATTTTAATCACTATTTTCCCTGAGGGTTATTTTCCTTCCTCTTTCCCTAGTTCCTTTTCCCTCTCATAAATTATGTAATATACTATAGCTATTATAAGACTACCATAAAAATTCCCCCCTTCATATGAGATTTCAGTTCCATTACCCTGAATAACTAAACAGTAAGATATTCTTACTCTCATTCTCATTGTGTGGCAAACTGAAAGAAAGCTACATATCAAAAAAGTAAATCCTTGTCAGAAAATTAAGTTACTGTACTTCTAATAATGGCTTGTGTGAAAATTAGCATGTGAGTGAACGAAAAGAAAAGCTTCTTAGGGGAGGGGGGAATGGGAAAAAAATGGGCAGGATGTACCATGTACAAGTGCAAATTCCCTATGATGAGTGTTTTCATTATATATGCCTAAAATGTACCAAAAAATGTTGTATTAAAAAAAAAAAAGAAAGAAAGAAAAGAAAAGCTTATGATTCTGATGAGGCTCTGGGTCCTTCTGGGCTCTGCCTTCCAGACGACAGAGTGCACACATGACCTGTCCTAGACCCTTCACATACATAACAATATGGACATGGGGAACCAAGGTCATCCAAAACCCTCTGCTGAGTGGATTCTGTACATGGTGCCAGGGTCTGACTCTGCATGGAGAAATAGCTCTAAGAGCAAAGCTAACACAGATGAACACAGAACCAAGAAGTGGAGATCAGGAGAAACCGGTAACTGCTTAAGTAACTGGAATCAGTCATGCATGACAGCAGGTAACCCTGACACTTCTTAATTACGAGAACCAAAAAATTCATTTTTTATTTTTCTATTTAAATGAGCTTGAGATGGGTGTCCAGCACTCATCACTGAAATAGTTAGAAAAAACAACTTTTTTGTGTTTTTTGGTGTTTTTGTTTTTTTTTTGAGACAAGGTCTCACTCTTTAGTTTAGGCTAGCCTTGAACTCACAGCAATTCTTCTGCCTCAGCCTCCTGAGTGCTGGGATTATAGGTGGGTGTTACCACGCCTGACAAGGATGAAAAAGGTCAAATGGACAAAACTAACTCTGAAGCAGCAAAATCAGACATACAGTATTTTAAGAGTAGTATCATATTTATTTATTTTGTGGTAATGGGGATTTCCCCCCAAGGCTTCATACTTGCTAGGCAAGCACTCTTATCACTGAGCTACATCCTCAGTTCTTTTTCTTTTGGGCCAGGGTCTTGCAAAGGTCCCCAGGCTCACTTCAAACCTTTAATCTTCCTGCCTCAGCCTCCAGAGCCTCCTGGGATTGTAAGTATGTGCCATCGCACCCAGCTAAGAATATTTCCTTTAACAGGAAGGGATTAAGAAAATTAAAATGTATGCTAAGAAAAAGTGTGTACTAAAGCAATGTAAAGGTACATGAATTGTATGGCTCAATCAGAATAGACTGTAAAAAAAGTTGCTTCTTATTGACACGGGAGACTTCAGGAGCAGGCTTGCATGCGAGAGAATAAAATGTTGAATTTTAAGTATGTCAAGTTAGACATCTAAGGAAAGAACTACGGAGTCAGAAGTTCAGTACATGAAGTTGAGAAGAGGGTCTGTGAAGGAGCAGTAACCTGAGAGATGCCAGCAAATACTTGATATTAAAGCCATGAAGCTGGTGTAATGGTCTGTATCTGTAGTCTCAGCTACTCCAGAGGGTGAGTCAGGGGGATCCCTTGAAGCCAGGAGCTGAACGCCATCCCGAAGACAGGACAAAGGGGGAGGGAGAGCTAGGGGTGGAGCTCAGTGGCAGAGCACTTGTCCAGCACACACCAGGTCCTAGATCCAATCCCCAGCACCGCAAACATTTTAAAAAAGAGAGGTTTGTCCCACACTGTTGAGGGAGAAGGTAACTACTGAGGAAATGGGAGACTACAGAAAGGAAAGAGGAAAATAACGGAGAACAGGAAGGAAACAATGGGGCCATAGCAGGTGCTGGAGGATGTACTGAGGGAAGTGGTCTCCACGGCATGTTAGAACTTTAAAACTGATAATTAGTTAACTCTACATTATCCAAATTATGTATTGTCTATGAAAAAAGGCTATGCTGGGCCAGGGATTTAGCTCAGTGGTTCCGGGACCTGCCTCACAAGCACAAGGTCCCGAGTTCGATCCCCGGTACCAAAAAAAAAAAAAAAAAAAGTACAATTTGTTTAAAAAAAAAATAAACAAAAAAAGGCCATGCTGACACTGACAGGTCTCCCAAGTTACGTCCCTGCCCAAGCAGACCCACTACCAGCATCCACAGGAGCACAGAGATAACAAGAAGCCAGCAGCCGCCCTGCTGCTCTCACCACCACCCTGCTTATCAGCCAGCCCCAAGCCCATCACCCATGGAACTCTAAATTTTTCCACCCTCTCGACCAGTGCCCCCTCCCCTACCCAAAATGCCCCATATAACCACAAGCACCCTCCTCTCAGTGCCAACAGCCTTCCTGCCCTTGGCCCATCTGCACCCAGATGGCAATAAACTCACTGCATGTTGCTTAGAGTTTGCCTGCCTCAGTGGTCTCAATCATGCCTCGGTCTGACTTTACAAAAGTAAGTAGGACATATAATAACCCTTCTTAATATTTTTTAATGTTCTTTCTTTTACACTTTTTTTTTTTTTTGAGACAGGGTCTCACTATGTAGCTTAGGCTGGCCTCAAACTCACAGCAATTCTCCTGCCTCAGCTTCCTGAGCACTGGGATTACAAGCATGTGCCACCATGCCTGGCTTTTGCACTTACTTTTTAACATAGCCTGTGGCACACAAAGAACGCATTTAAAGAAAACATTTACAGATATTCCTTGTTTAATGACTTACTTGTTTAACAACTGTTTGGACTTATCATCTGTCTTTTTTTATATAATTCTGTACATCTTGTTTATAGAGCCTCAATGTCTCTTTTGTACAGTACACTTTGCTCATACAGTACTGCAATTTTTGCTGATTATACTGTACAGTATTATAGGGTTTTTTTCTCCTTTTATTGGTATGTTTTAGGTGTACAATATAATGACATTCATCATTGGAGATATGCACCTTAAGTATTATAGTTTTATTTTGTTATACATTACAGTGCCTCACGTAAGAGTTATACAAATAAAAGCCAAGTCATCAAGTTGGAGTCTCCTTTGACCATTTCCTTGTTCCAAATACTGTAATGTACATACTACATACAGTGTCTCATTTAGTGACCAATTCATTTAACAACCTAAGCACCTAGACAGGTAATTACTTCTCCAGTAAAGTTGTGCAGCAAAGAAAGAAAAAGGCCTGAAACTTACTTTACTCCAACAATCCAATATTTAGAGAAAAGTAAGCATCATTTCTGAGTAAGGGTAATAAGATAGAAAACTAAACATATTCTACTAATCTGAGTCAAGTGTTTGCAGTGAGATGCTTGTTTCAGCTTCAGCTTCAGCTTTTTTTTTTTTTTTTTCCGTACTGGGGATCGAATTTGGGACCTTGTACTTTTGAGGCAGGTGCCGGAACCACTAAGCTAAATCCCACCCCAAGATGCCTGTTTCAAATGCAGTGACATTCACATTTGAGGCATAAAGTAAATTTAAAGTGAAAGCAATCTGAAACTGTATTATTCCTTGCAACTGTCTGAACCCTGAGCATACCAAGCATTGTTATAAAGACAGCATATGCCAGGGGGCATATGCATATATGCCAGGGGGCATACGCATATATGCCAGGGAGCATACGCATATATGCCAGGGATATATATGCACATAAATGCACATATGCCAGGGAGCATATGTTATGAGGACAGCATATGCAGTAGGTCCACTTGAACATTGACCTAGTAGGGAGGAAACTTAGCTTCAAGTTCCAGCTCTGTCATTTATTTTGGGGGGGTTTTTTTGGTAGTGGGGATCAAACTCAGGACCTTGCGCTTGCGAGGCAGGGGGCAGATCTGTCATTTATTTGTGATCTGACCTTGATCAAGTTAATTTGTACTTTAGACTTAAATTTCCTAATATATAACAGAAGACAGGATTAGATTGTCTCAAAAGTCTCTTCACATTCAAAAGTTTTGTTTTTGAGATAGGGTCTCCCTATGTAGCTCAGGCTGGCCTTGAACTCACTATGTAGCCCAGGCTGTCCTTGATTTGTTTTTCGGGTGTTTTTGTGGTAGTGGCAATCGAACTCGGGACCTTGCGCTTTCGAGGCAGAGGCAGGCGGTGGACCCACTGAGCTAAATCCCTGGTCCCAGTTGGTCCTTGAACTCATGGCAATACTCCTGCCTCAGCCTCCTGAATGCTGGGATTACAGGCATACACCACCACACCTGGCTTTCTGCCCATTTTTAAATCAGATTTTTTTTTGCTATTGATTTGTCTGATTTCCTTTCATAGTCTCTATATTAACTTTTTGTCAGCTGTATAGTTTGCAAACGCATCTTCACATTCTGCAAGTTGTCTCTTCACTCTGTTGATGGTTTCTTTTGTTGTGGATGATCTACTGGTACTAATTTTCAAAATGAAACATTCTCATGAACTAGACTTAAAATTGGCCAATATAAGGCTAGGGGTGGAGTTCAGTGGTCAAACACTTGCCTGGCAAGCTTGAGGCCCTGATTCCATTCCCAGCGCTGAAAAAAAATTTTTTTTGTTTATTTATCCTTGATTAGAAGACTTTAGAAAGCCAAACAAAAATCAGAAAAAAAACCCTGAAGTTATCTGTCTCTAAGAGATATTTAAATCTGATGTGCAGTTGATTTTTGCCTTTCAGGTAAGTAGCGTTAAGCTATGTTGGTCTGAGAAATTTCTTTTTCATTTTGTAGTTTATAGGATTATACATGATAAGCTCTTATAATATCTATGTGAATTTTGGATTTATCAAGGTCAAGGAAATTTTCAGATGTGAAGTTTTTCCTATTTTTTCCTTTGTAGAGTAATACCAAATCCCCACAAAGATTAAAAGATATTTTGAGGAAAAAAAGTTTCGATTTTTTTTTTCCTAGTTATATATTTTTCTCATAAAGTCTTAAAACTTTTAAATGTGAGCCGGGTATGGTGGCACACGCCTTTGAACTACATAGTAAGACCCTGTCTCAAAAAAATAAAAAACAAAAACAAAAAAAGGGCAAAAGACCTTAAGAGACATCTTTCCCAAAAAAGATATAAAAATAGCCAAGATATATACGAGAAAAAAATACTCAACATCACTAGTCATCACAGCAATGCAAATCAAAATCACAATGAGATATCACCTTATTCCACATAGGTTGGCTATTATCAAAAAGACAAAAGATAACAAGTGCTGGCAAAGATGTGAAGAAAAGGGAACCCTTGCACACTGTTGCTGGGAATGTAAATTAGTACAGCCGTTATGGAAAACACCATGGAGGCTCCTCAAAAAATTAAAAATAGAATTACTATAGGATCCAGCAATCCCACTACTGAGTATATATCAAAAGAAAATGAAATCAGAATGTGAAGGAGTTATCTGTTTACTTTAGCACTATTTACAGTAACCAAAATATGGAATCAGTGTAAGTGCCCAATAATGAATGGATGAATGGTAAGAAAGAAAATGTGGTATATGTATACACAACATAATACTATTCAGTCACCAAAAAAGCCTGTGATTTGCAACAACATGGATGAACATTATGGTAAATGAAGCAAGCCAGACACAGAAAGACAAATATTGCCTGCTCTCAACTCATATATGGAATCTAAGAAAATCGCTTTCATATAAGTAACAGATAGAACAGTGGTTACTAGAGACTGGGGAGGGGAGGAGGAGAGGTTGATCAACTGATACAAAATAAATTTAAAAAGAAGACTAAGTTCTGGTGTTCTATTGCACCACAGCATAGCTATAGTTAACAATAAGGTATTGTATATCTCAAAAATAGCCTAAAGAGAGGATTTTGAATATTTCCACCACTAAGAAATGATAAATATTTCAAGTGACAGATATGCAAATTATCCTGATTTGATAAGTACACAATGTATCCATGTACTGAAACATGACATTGTACCCCAGAAATATGTATACTTATATGTTGATGAAAAATTTAAAAAATACTAGATCCTTGAAATATATCCAAGGTTTCAATCACATGCAAACCACACCAGGATCCATGACATGCAGCCTCTTGTAGTTTTACTGAATCACATGTGAATCATTCAAAATGTGAATGTGACTTGTAGTGAGTGCCTGCTCTGCACCTGTATCTCAACATGGCGCCTTTGCCATTCTAACAAGCAGAGACAAACAACTGGGGCAAGAGACATGCTTCTTTGGGAGAAGAGCTCCCTCAAATGAAAGAAAACTGCTAAGAAAACTTGCTATTTCTTAGCAATAGTCTGAGTAGTAAAAGTTTCTTCAGTCATTTAAAACATAGAGAAGTTAGGTGACAAAATCAAGTACAAGTGAACCAGTAAGGATGTGTAAGAGATGTTTTCTACTTCTTTTTATTCATTCTTTAATAGATGGGTGACTACTATCAGAAATGGCAATATTGTAGAATTTGAAGTGCTAAAAGTACAAAGGAACTCTAATAATATCCAAGTTTCCTGTAATTAGTATTCAGGCTTAAATTAAGTGTATGTGAATTTAAATAGAATGAGCTAGTTTAAATCTTTCAGCTTGATCATATCAGGGAAGACGACTCTCAGTGTTTCAGATCTGCAGGCCTGAAAGAACAAGCTTAAAGGAAAGTACTTGTAGCAAGAACTTAATATTATAAGAGGACACACATGGGCTTCTCAACATGTACAAATATACTTTAATGTCACCGTTTAAGACATAAATGAGAAATATTACCTCTTTGAAATGGGACATCCAGTTTGCCAAGGTAAGGTGGGAGCTCCTTAAAAAAATATGAGTGAAAAAAAGTTAGCTCTCAAATATACAAAGCAGTTTAGTGCCTTACATTAAGACATAAAGTAAAAATTTGCTTCTCCGAAAAAAAAAAAGAGAACAGTGGTTGGGGATGTGGTTCAGTGGCGCCGCACCTGCTTGGCAAGTGCAGAGTACTGAGTTCGATCCCCTGTACCAGAAAAAAAAAAAGAGAGAGAGAACAAAACACTACACACACTTACACAGAGAACCCCCTTAGGACAATATCCCCCAAGGCAAATTAATGATACAATTACTTTTACCACCTACAAGAAATAGATAGTATTTAATATAGACCTTTTCTCAATAATATAAAAGGATTTTGGTAGAAAAATGTCCAGAATAGATAATTCAAAGATAAAAAGGAAAAATAACAATCATATAGGAAAAAGCATCTTTAAATCCATTAATAGTCAAAGAAATGCTAATTAAAATTTAAATTGGGAAACCAGAAAAATTTTGGCATAATTTCAATAACTAATTAATGATAAGGGTACTGCAAAATGAGAATTGTGGCCAGGGATTTAGCTCAGTGGTTCTGTCACCTGCCTCACAAACGCAAGGTCCCAAGTTTGATCCCCGGTATCAAAAAAAAAAAAAAAAAGAATTGTGGTTCTTTTTTAAATTTTTTTCAGTGCTGTGGTTTGAACCCAGGGCTTTGAACATGCTAGACAAGTGTTCTACCGCTATGCTACATCCCTGTCCCTTTTTAAATTGTATTTTGAGACAGGGTCTCACCAAGTTGCCCAGGCTGGCCTTGAATTTGTCCTTCTGACTCAGCCTCCCAGAGTGCTGGGATTACAGATGTGCACTACCACGCCCAGCAGAAATTCTTAATATCAGATATTATGGTACAATTGTTTTAAACACTTTAGCTGAGTGTGGTGGCACATGTGTAATCCCAGTACCCAGGAGGCCGAGGCAGGAAGATCACTGCAAGTTTGAGGTGAGCCTGGGCTACAAAGCAAGACCTTGTCTCCAAAAAAATTAAAATAAAAATTTTAAAATACTTTTAAAAAGAAAGTACCAGCCTGGGCAACATAGTGAAACCTTGTTTCAAAATTTTAAAAGGTGGACAGGTGAAGGGCGCACAGGTAATTGGGAAAAAATAAGAACCAAGATACATCATGTACAGGTACAAGCACCCAATGATAAATGTAAATGTACTGTATACCTAAAATGTACCAATAAAAGAATTTAAGAAAAAAAAATTTTTTTAAAGGGCTGGCTGTAGCTCAGGGCTCCCTGGGTTCAATCTTCAGTACAAAACAAAACAAAACAAACACCCCCAAAGACAAAGGCCATAGGAAACTGTATGTGGGATGATCAAAATATATGATGGATGTTTAAATTTTTAAAAACTGTATTATGGTAAAAGACATATTGCCACTAATTGCCAACAACCCCCCTCAAAATTCTTCCTCTCGCTCTGAACATACCCCATTGTTCTTGCTGCTTTCTGGGGCAGTTCTAAAAGTTCTCTTTCTTGTCTTTACAAGGTGTGACCAAAAATACAGTGAATGCTACTGCCAAGTGCCATCCAACAGAAAGGCAGGCTCCTAAATACCTTACAGTTTATACTCATCTCTCAGTCTGGCACTGCGTGATGTCTGGCTCTTTGCCAGAGTCAAAATGATGATGAAAAGTAAATGTTTCTGAATGGATTCGGACAGGGAGGCAGTGATGACAGCACAATTAAAGACACAAGAAGCTTCCAGAACTGCTTCAGATAAAGTGGCAAGAATGATGAAATAAATGTGTTCAAAGTGAGGGGGAGTATTTTCAGGGAGATTAGTAGTAATGTGTCTTTTATTGTAATAATTTTGTTTGTTTGGTTGGTTTTGGAGACAGAGTCTCGCTATATATCATTCAGGCTGACCTTGAAGCTGAAGCAATCCTCCTGCCTCAGCCTCCTGAGCGCTGGGATTACAATCACACACCGCCACACCTGACTGTAATAATGTTTTGAAATTTAAATATCATAATACTTTGATCACACCTTGTAATATATATGACAATAATATTCCTAACTCTTTTCCCCAATATTCTTGAGAATATATTTAGAGAAATAAACACGAAGCTAAAGAAAATTTTATGTAAATAACTTTAATAATTATTTATTTATTTATTTATTTTCCAGTATTGAGATTGCACCCAGGGCCTCTGTACCAGGCTATATCCCCAGCCCTTTCTTCTAAATCACTGAATTGCCCAGACTGGGCTTGAACTTGTGATTACTTGTTATTGTCCTGCCTCGGCCTTCTAGAAGGCTGAGGTTATATGCTGTGCCATCTTACCTGACTGTCCTTGTTTTTTTTAGTATAACTGGTAAATAAAATCATATATATTTAAGGTGTATGACATCATCTTATGTTTTGAGATACATATACTTTGGGAAATGATCACTGAAATGATAATCAAGCTAATCAACTTGCATTACCTTATATATTACAGCAGAGCCAGGGATTTAGCTCAGTGGTTCCGCCACCTGCCTCACATATTACAACAATTCTTAATTTCCTCCCCTTGGAAGCATTTTATAATAGTACAAGTCAAAAATACTCTTTTTTTTTTTTTTTGGTACCAGGGATCGAAAAATACTCTTAAACAAAAAGAAAAATGTGCTCAACATCTCACTCCCAGAGATAGATTAACACAATTAAGTGAACACTGTTCTAGACGATTATATATAAATTTTTAAAATTATATCTATTTGTATCTTTATAAGTAACTTTTTATACTCATCTAAATACAGTTTTATACTTGCACATAAAGATGTTCAGTAACGTCTTAACTATACTGGCAAAAACATAGAACTAACTGAATATTCGGCAATAGAGAACTGATTAAAAGTAACTATAAATCCCCAGTACCGGGGTGAGGGGGGGAAGTAACTATAGATCCACTTCATGTAATAATGCAGTCATTTGAAGTATTTATGAAAACTAAGCACAGAACCTGAAATGCTAAGTATTGCCTGCTTCCAACTTTATGACATTCTGGAAAAAGAAAAACTATGGTGACAATGAGATCAGTGGGTGCCAGGGGACAGGGGAAAGGCAGGGCTAAACAGGCAGACTATAGATTTGTGGGTAGTGGGACTATTGTGTATGACAGCAAAACTGCAGGTAGAGTCCTTGGATATGTGTCTAAACCCTGGTAGGTACCACAGCAAAAGTGAACTCTACTGTGAGCTCCAGGGTTGGAGTGGTAATCATGTGTCCACATAGGTTCTTTGTAACAAACGTGCGGCTCTGCTGTGGATGCTGACAGTGGCAGAGGGTGTGCCTATGTGGGGTTGGTAGGCAGGAATGAGGGAACACTGTATTTTTTCACTTAATTTTCCTGTGAACCCAAAACTTCTCTAAAAAGTAAAGTCTACTTTTTAAAAAGCATGGGGTAGTATAGTAACACACATTTGTAATCTCAGCAATTTAAGAGGCTGAGACAGGAGGATTACAAGTTTGAGGCAGGCTGAGTAACTCAGCGAGACCCTGTCTCAAAATAAAATTTAGGGGCCGGGGATTTAGCTCAGTGGTTTTGCCGCCTGCTGCGCAACCCCAAGGACCCAAGTTCGATCCCCGGTACCGGTACCAAAAATAAATAAATAAATAAATAAAATTTAAATAGGGCTGGGGATGCAGCTCAGTGGTAGAACTTAGCATGCACAAATGGCTAGTGCCACAAAATAAATAAATAAATAATAAAAGGCATGGAAAAATATTATCATGGCATAATGTTAAAATATTAAAAACAAAGCCGAGTGTGGCGGTGCACACCTGTAGTCCCAGCTTGGGAGACTGAAGCAGAAAGATTGCTATGAGTTTGAGGCCAGCCTGGACTACCTAGTGAGTTTAAGGACAGCCTGAACTACATAGCCCTGAACTACATAGCCTCAAAAAACCAAAAAATAAACTAAAATAAAGTATTAACACAATATGTATAATATATAACACAAAATTTTATTAAAAAGTGGGAGATCTATATCTATATCATATCCACATATAGATCATCCTGTTAACATGAGTTTGCTTTAGGTGGTAAAAGCAGGCATTAGTTTTCCTTCTATTTATTAGTATTTAATGAGTATATAAACTAGTATGATGAGATGTTAAAATGGTGCTTATTTTATGTGAAAGCTAAAGTTAATTCATATCTTTATCTGAATCACATAAATTAAGTTGAATTCCAATAGTTTTACATTTGAGGACTTGTAATTTTATTAAAATGTTCATAAAAGTAAGTCTCCACAGGTGTATCTGTATAGTACAAAATCCTCACTGGATTTCCAAACATTTATTTAAAAGCAGTTAAATGCATTTATTATTTAATCACTAATATTTTCAAAAGTTAGTTATTGGAGCAATATCTGGCATTCACTGCCTTAAAAAGTCTTACTAACACATATCCACTAGATATATTTTATTATGCATTTCTACTCACACAATACTTGAGATCAGAGACATTTGCATTGATCCCAGTTGATCTCTTTAGGTTCTCATCATGTGACACTACAACTTGCTCATCTTTTGTGATATGGCAGTCCAATTCTAGCATGTCAGTTCCAATTGTAACTGCACTGAAGAAATAAAGAAAAAATGACATTCTGAAAGTTACAGAAAATTAAGGTTTCATGCATTAGATGTTACAAATCCAAAACAGCCTATGATAGTGCAATATCTCCTCAACATCATCTGTCAACACTTACTGATGTGAAAACACTCCACATGATCTTAGAGTAAATGAATCATGTTGCTTCCTTTCCTTAACCAGCTACCCTCAATCCTGGGAACCCAAAAGAATACTTAGCCAGAAGTTAAGAGTCCTAGCCACCAGTTCCTGATATATTATTTATGAACTTGTATAACTTAGGGCAAATAAATTTCCCTCTTAGGTCCTACATTTCCATATCTACAAGATGAAAGGATTAAGAAATATAGCAAAAGACCGGGGATTTAGCTCAGTGACACCATGCCTGCCTTCCAAGTACAAGGTCCTGAGTTCTATCCTCAGCATAAAAAAGGAAAGACAGAGAGACAGAGAGAGAGAGAGAGAGAGAGAGAGAGAGAGACAGACAGACAGAAAGACGGGGGGGGGGGACACAGCAAAAAATGAGCATGGCAACACACACCTGTGATTCCCAGCACTCAGAGGAGGCTAAGGTAGGAGGTTCAAATGTGTGAGGGCAGCCTGGTCTAATAGTGAGACCCTGTCTCCAAAAGATAGATAGATGGTTGGACGGATGGAGACAAGGCTGGATGTGATGGCATATGCCTGTAATTCCAGCTGCTCAGAGGTTGAGGCAGGAGGATCATGAGCTCGAGGCCAGCCTGGATAACACAAGAGGACCCCATCTCAAAAACAAAAACAAAAAAGAACTTTATGACAAGAATGGCTGCTTTTGTCTTGTGATTCAACATACAAATGGAAGTTCTGGAAATTAGAAAAAATAAAACATTCAAATTGGAAGAGAAAAGTAAAATTATTTCTATTCACAGATGGCACGAGTTCTGTTTGTTTTGTTTTTCCCTACTGGAAATTGAACCCTGGGACTTCACACTGAGCTATATCCCTATTCATTTATTCATGCATTCATTTTGAGACTCAGTCTCACTAAGTTGCAAAACTGCCAGGTAGAACTCAGATTTACAACCCACTTAGCTCAGCTTCCCAGAGTGCTGGGCTTACAGGTGTGTGCCACGATGCTTCGCTTGACAGGTTCTTACACACAGAAAACCCTGACCTGGGGGTGTAGCTCAGTAGTAGAACTCTTGCTTAACATACGTAACACTCTGGGTTTGACACCCAGCATAGCAAAAAAAGAAAAACAAACAAGTAAATAATCTCTAAAGATTCCATAACAAAAAGAGAATAAAATTAATAAATTCAAGGGCCTAGGATTTAGCTCAGGGGCCCCATGCCTGCCTTGCAAGCACGGGTCCTGAGTTTGATCCCTGGTACTGAAAAAAAAAAATTAATAAATTCAGCAATGTTGCTAGATACAAAAGTCAACATACAAAGCTTAGTTTTGTTTCTATACACCAACAAAGAACAAACTAAGAAAATAATTCCATTTATAATAGCATTACAAATAAAATAGAGTAAAATACTTAGAAAAGAAATGAAAGTTATATAGATATGTACAAATGTACTTAAGATGTAAATACTACCTAAAGTGATCTACAGAGTCATGGCAATTCTAACAAAATCCCATTGGTGCTTTTTGCGGAAAGAGAAAGACCTTTCCCAAAATTCATATGGAATCTCAAGGAATCTCAAATACTCAAAACCATCTTTTTTCTAAAGTAAACATTTTTTTTTTTTTTTGGTACCAGGGATCAAACTTGGGTCCTTGCACTTGCGCAGCAGGCAGTGACACCATGGAGCTAAATCGCCAGCCCAAGTCAACGTATTTTTTTTCAGGGAATTTTACATGTAATTTCTTCAATGCCCACCAAGATCACCTTAACGAGGTTCACAGTCTTCCAGTAGCCCTTTTAAAAAGAACTGATGCTTGGTCCAGTCAGCCTGTCTGTCTTGCCACAATTCTTTCATTTCCACTTTATCTCCACTTGAATTATGAGCACACTGTTAACAACCTCAAAATTCCTGTATGGAAGATCCAAATTTCTCCCAGCAATTTACTTTAGCATCCTAGACGCTGAATTGTAGAAAATTCTCGGTATTTTGGCAAATGATCTACATGTAGAATATTACTCATTAAAGATTTCTAATGATTGAAACACAACATTTTTACTTCTGAGCTTAAGCAAAATGTTACTGGTCTCATTGTCACTACTGTTACATTTACTGTGATGGTAACATGACCTGTGTCTCAATTTAACCACATGGGCCAATTTTTCAAAACAATCTTGAAAAAGAAAAGGTTGGCAGATTCACACTTCCCAATTTCAAAACTTACTGTAAAGTACAGTAATTAAAGCAATGTGATACTGGAATAAAGACAGCCATGTATGGGCTAACAGATACGAGTGGAATAGAACAAAGTGCTCAGAAAGAAGTCCTCACATGCATGGTTATGTGATTTCATAAGAGTGCCAGGACCACTCAATGAGGAAAGGAGCCTGAGTTTAGTAAATGATGCTGGGAAAGCTGGATAGATGTTTTTTTTTTTGGTACTGGGAATCAAACTCAGGACCTTGCACTTGCCAGGCAGGCATTAAGCCACTGAGCCACATTCGTGGCCCTAGATAGACACATTTAAGGAATGAAGCCAAATTTTTACCTAATGCCACACATTAAAAATAAATTCACTAGGGCTGTTACCTCAGTGGCAGAGTAGCTGCTTGGCAGGTGAAGCACTGGGTTTAATTCCCAGCACCACAAAAAAAAAATAGTTTAAAAATACATTCAAGGTGGATCAAACACTTAGACCAATGAACTAAAATTATAGAACTCTGAGAAGAAAACAGGAGAGAAACTTTATGACATTGGATTTGACAATGTTTTATTGAATATGATAGCAAAAGCAAAGGCAAAAAACCCCAAACAAACCATAAAATGGACTTCATCAAAATTAAAAACTTTTGTGCATTAAGATATTATCGAGCCAGGGATGTAGCTCAGTGGCACCGCGCCATGCAAGATCCTGAGTTTGATCCCCAGTACCAAAAAAAAAAAAAGATGAAAAAAAGAATGAGCACCATCACTTATCATCAGAGAAATGCAACCAAAACCACAGTGAGATACCTTTCACAGCCATTAGGTTGGCCATGACAACAAACAAACAAACAAAAAATGCCTAAATATTCACAGCACTGGAGAGAATGTGGAAGATCTGGAGCCCTGCGCTGTTGAGAGTATAAACCGGGTCAGCTGGGACTTCAGAAAGATGTGGACCAGAAGGCCCCAGGCTTCAGCCCCACCCACAGAAAGGTCACCTAGCAACTGTTCATAGACAAAAACACCTTGGGAAAAACCTGGCACATGGAGATAAGCCTGAGTCACTTGCACGTTCCATGGAATTGAATAAAAAATCTGTCCCTGAAAGGGTAAGAGAAATAGTCTCCCTTTCACAGCCTCATCCTGCCCACTCCCTAAGTCAGCAGAGCAGCACTCGGAGAGAAAACCTGAGGACCCCAGTCTCCACTGAGGGAAAAGAAAATAGTGAAGCAGGCACCTAGATTCCCTACCATGCTAAGACACTTTCCAGGAAGCCCACTCATTCTCTCCTCACCGGGAATGCAAGGGGAAACAATGCCAGATGGAACAATACAAGGAGATGGAGTGCACAGAGGCCAGTGTGCACATTTTAGTGAAAGCTCAGTAATGACACATGAGCCATCTAAAAGCATGACCAGCCAGCAAAGCTGAGCTGGTCACTCCCAGAAGAGGTGGGAAGCACTGCTTGGCTTGAGTCCCAAGAGTGTCAGTCTCCAGGTCCAGTTCAGACAGGCCTCACCTAGGGAAGAGGAACCCTACAGAATTCTGACAGTGAGCTACCACTAGTTGTGCTACCACTGGGCATTTAGTCAGCACTCATTACAGCCTCAAAGCCCACTCTTACACCCTGCCCAGAGACAGAGGCAAATCTCAAGCGAAATTTTTGGTTTTGAGACAGGTCTTGCTATAGAGCCCAGGCTGGCCGCAAACTTGTGGCAATTCCCCCGCCTCAGCCTCCTGAGTCCTGGGATTATAGGTGTGTCCCACCATGTCCAGCTCAAGAAAGTCATTTTTACCAAGCATAACAATTGGTTCGCCCATCCCAAATCCACCTAACTCTGGGGCCCCACCTGCAACCCCGACCAACTACTGGATATAGCAGCACCTTCTGGCCAAGACTGCATCCTGCGGCCCAACCAGGTCACAATAGTGCCCATCAGCCTGGCTGCAGAACTCAACATGAGGTCTTACTAGACAGCAACACCTAGCAAGCTGCCCCATCAGAATTCAGAGCAAAGACAGCCATACAGCCATCCAGCCATCTAGAAAACCTTAAAACAAGCCCTGCCTAGGGCTGGGGATTTAGCTCAGTGGCACCCGGCCTGCAAAAAAAGCACCCTGTCTTCCCAGGGACATTACCAGCTGGCCCATCCAGAGTCACAAGAAATAGCTATGGTTTATCCCTGTCAAAGAACACCTGTTAGGGCCAAAAAAAAGTAGTTTTCTCTGTAAATGCACAAACACCAATGGAATGACACAAGAATTAAAAAGACTCATGAAACTATGACACCTTCAAAAAAAACTAATAAAGCTTTAGCAATAGACCCTAAAGAAAAGGAGATCTATGAAATAACACTAAAAGAATTCAGAATAATCATTTTACAAAATTCAGTGAATTGTAAGAATACAGAATTTTTAAAATAAAAATTGAAAAATATATGAACAAAACAAGTTAGCCAAAGAAATAAAAATTTTTAAAAAGTAAGAACAAATAGAAACCCCAGAGATGACAAATAAGTGGCTGAACTTTAAAATGCAATAGATTGCTGCCTGCTGTGCAAAGTGCAAGGACCAGAGTTCAATCACCAGTACCAAAAAAAAAAGAAAAAAATGCAATAGAAAGTTCCACAGTCAGCTCAATGAAGTTGAAGGATCAGTGAAATCCAGAGCAGAACA